GAGAATTGTGTTGATTTTTGTTGTGTTTTGCGCGATCTCCGTCCTCAGTTTATTCAATGCTTTGTTTTGTTCTTCATCTAAAACTTGCATCACAGAGTTCGTAGACGCAATTGCTTGTCGAAGGGATGCGTTCGCCATCATATGAGATAGAGCATATTGAAATTCGGTTGGAGGAACGAGTACGTGAAAGAAACAATATTTGAGTTTTAGGAAATACGTGTTGATCGGAAATATATACAAACCCCTTCTAAAGAGTAGTTGTTATCGTCGTCCGTGAGGTCACCGCTGGGATGGAAATCTAGTAACTGAAAGTTGAACGGGAATTTGATTGTAATTGTTTTGTGAAATAAGGAGCTCGGTGGCTTTTTGGTGACCAGTTTTGTTTACTGAGTAGAAAATCATGGGTTCAATGCCAAGTTCCTTCACATTACAGAGATTTACTTTGAATCGGCTTTCTTTCATTTTTTATAAAGCATAATGAAATTCGGTTCGGAAGGACGGGTACGTAAAAGAAGTAATATTTGAGTTTTAGGAAAGACGTGCCAAATCCATCTCAACAGCAGTTGTTGTCGTCCTCGGTGAGGTCACCACCAGGATCGAAACCAAGTAACAACAAGTTGAACGAAAACATAATCGCAATTGTTTTGTGATATAAGGAGATCGGTAGTCTGATTCAAGCCCAAGCTCATATCGTTTTCCAAAACGAATAAAATTCGATTCAAAGTAAATCTGGACGCACGGTTTAATACACCACCGCGCCCCTGGTGGTTGGAACAAAAAACGTTTGACAGGCATTTTTTGATGTTGGATTGCCGAAGAAATTGGTGAAAAGTTTTTCTCGATTGATCGACGCATCCCGAAATTACGGATCAAAGAACTTGAGAAAAGAAAATTAATTGTGCACAATTTTACCTGGCAACTGGTCGTGGGGATGTCCTTTCCAAGTATAAATTTGTTTTTGCTGATAAGTTTGCTCGGAAACTAATGATTTGACAAGGAATCTGCAGTTGTGGCCTTAAAACCCAGGTTTTCATCACATCTCACACAATGACGTCGAAGGTTTACATCAGCGTTGCCAGATATACCGATTTATTGGTATTTATACCGATTTCCAAATTAGATACCGATATACAGATAATATTCCTAAGAATACCGATTTATAAGATTTTATACCGATTTATACCGTTTTTTAATAATCAAAATTATAATTACCTGCCCGCGCTCGAATTTCGGAGAAATTTTTTGTGAGAGATTTGTTTCTTATTTATTGAGCCTTCAAAATTCTAAACAATCATCTCTAAAGATGCCTTATGCTTGATACGCTTTTGACTAATGTTTGAATTTCCTCACCGTTTTTGGCTACCCATCAATCGAGAAATAGTCGATGGCTCTTTCTGGTAATTCCTAGGGAATCGAGAAATATGTTTTAAACATTATTTAACTTCCGGAAGTTTTATTCATTTTTTAACTTCTTGAGGTTTCATCCAACTTTCCCTGGAGTTTTCTTCCACCTTACCTTGGAAGCTTCTTCAGCCTTAGCTCGAATGATTCTTTCATCTTCTCCCGTCAGTTTTTTCAACTTTCCCAGAACTTTTTTTTTCCTTTATTTAGGAGATTTTTAGCCGTAGGCTAGTTCATCTCCGATTTCCCAGAACTTCAAGGATACTATCAGATTTTTATTGCGGATCCACACTAGCTGCAGGCACATTTAAGGAGGTCTGAAACTTCAAAAAAGCACAGACTTTTGTGTTAGTTTCGGTATATTATAGACAGTTTCATTAACTTCTTTTAAAATTAGAAAACCCGGGAATTTCAGAAAAGTCTAGCGTCTAAGTCATAAATATTTTGGAAACTTCACAAGTCCAAAGAACTTCAGGGAAATTTCATGATTTTCAGGAATTTTAGTGAAGCTCAGGGAACATCAAGACAGATCAATTAATTAATGAAATTGCTGAAATTACAAATGCAAATTTAGGAAACGTAAGGAAGTTACATGACATTAGAACATTGTGAGAAAATTTATGGGAAGTTCTAAGTTTTTTAATGGCAGTGTCGATAACTTTTAAACATTAAAAACTTCAAGGGACAACCCTATGCTGTTGTACGCAATGGTGACGTAGGACTACGTGGTCTTACATAATAAATCTTATTCGCTTGTGTTTTCTGTAGGAATAGGAATTTGAGCGGGGTTCTCTCTGTTTATGCTCTTTAGTATGACGCGCTTGATATAGATGGCCCACAGCGACTCACGAAGAGCTACTGATTCCGATCAATATCTGTGCGGCTTCTTCCTCCTTCTATGGATGGTCATATGTTCTGCAGCTTGCTGCTTGCGGGCAGCCTTTCGTTGTGCATTGGAGAACACCACCACCACTTACCACGCGGTGATTGAATAAACACCGTTTGGTGAGACCGGATGGAATTCAACTTTGAAATCTGTGTTAGGGAAATCACTTTTCACAGACAATCGGTGATTATTTTAATTAATATAGCAAAAATTGTACATTCGTGTAATTTTTAATAGTGACATTTTGAAAAATGATAAAGGGTTAACTTGCGTAGGAATATTTCTGATCGATTGGTGATTCAATTATTGAAATTGGTCCAGGGACAGCTGAGTTATTAACATGTAATTTTTACGAAATTAGAAACTTTTTCAACAAAAAAATATTTAGTAGAAGTGGAAGCTTTTGTTTTTACCAAACTGGCCTATCAAATATGTTTTTCTGTTTTCGCTTCTAAAAGCGATATTTTTGAAAACATGTTCAAATCTCCATACATATATTTTTTTTACTAACTTTTAGTGGTGCCATCGAGGATGCCATGCTGTCAGTAGTGTTTAGATAGACGAGAACAAATGACAGGTTTGTTTGTAAAAGAGACAAGTGTTCAGTTTATCAGAATATCGTGCTTATTATTATGTTATGGTCATTTAAGAGCGTTTTGTTACAAATTGTAGTTTTGCAGTAATAAATACTAAAAAGTATAGGGGGCGACCCCGGCGTAGTGGTTAACATCCATACCTCTCACGCCAAAGTCACGAGTTCAAATCTCACCCCCGGACAAGTCACGAATGACCCAAGTGTGTTAAAGAGACTATAATAAAAAAAAAAAAAAAAAAACTAAAAAGTATAAATCTGTATTATGTTCATGGTATAAGATCCACCGAACACCCTAGTCCTGACAACTTTGATATATTTGAAAATATCATCAAATATTTCTAAATATCATCGAAAATATTTGAGTATTTTCAAAAACTAATAAAGGATAGAGCTTTTTGTGCTGAACAATGTTTTTTTTCTGTGGATACTTTTGTTCAAGTCTAAATCAAGGTAATTAAAACATCAAATCATATTTTGATACGTTCAACCAAGTTGTCCCACGCCCTGATTAGCCCTTTTTACTTTGTATGCCTTGTTAATAGTGACAAGACTCGGGTTGCTCGAACGAGAATTTTATTTAAATAAGCAGGGTGGCCAGACCTACCGATTTTCGGGATGCCTACCGATTCACCGACAAAAGGTTAAAAACTACCGATTTTTCACTATTCCTACCGAGAATCACAGATTTTTAGTAATCTTGAAAAATAATCAATACCTATGTGTTGATTTCCTTGTAGTCAGAATTAGCTTTAGAATTAGAAATATTGATTTCGACACGTTTAAAGCAGATGAACTTAATAACTAAAGAACAGCCCCCCTCCAAGTATCGGGAAAGCCTTCTTCAGACGACCTACCGATAACTACCGATAAAAGTTTTGAGAAGCTACCGATAATGAAAAAAATAATCTGGCCACCCTGGTTTACATTAAAGAGTGTCTGAAATAGCGGATTTTACCCTTCATTCGGCAACACAAGATCAACGTTATGTTTTGGCCGGATCTAGCCAGCTGCCACTACTCTAAGGAGGTACTAGAATGGTATGCTGCAAACAATGTTAATTTCGTCGCCAAAGAGATTAATCCTCCGAATTGCCCTGAGTTCAGACCGATCGAAAAATATTGGGCAATTGTCAAGCGAAAACTTCGAGGATGCGGAAAAGAAATGACAAATGCACAATAAATGCGTTTAAAGTGGAATAAGTTCGCCGGTACAGTGTCACCAGCGACTGTGCAGATCATAAGTAAAGTGCGACAGTTCGTTCGAAACGGTGAAATGTAATAACTTGTTATATATAGTTTGAAAGCTGAATAAATACCCTTTTGTTTGACGTTTTGATCAACCGTGTATGTTGTTTAATTCTTGAGTTGAGTTATGACGCATTCAAAATTTATTTTGAATCGGGCTTTATTGCTGCAATCCCAACCCTTTTTTTCAAAAGCAGAAGAAAAACTCTTATTCGCTTTTGAATAGAAACCACTAAGGATTCCTTCCTTAATAAGATTTTATATACATCCCTTAGCTCAGTCGGTAAAGGCGCAGCTACATAGCAAGACCATGCTGGAGGTAGCTGGGTTCGATTCCCGGTTCGGTCTAGGAATTTATCGGGTCGGAAATTTTTTCGACTTCCCTAGGCATAGAGTATGATTGTGTTGCCACACAATTATACTAATGCAAAAATAGTACAGGCATCAAAAGCTCTCAATTAATAACTGTGGAAGTGCATCTAGAACAATAAGTTGAGAGCACGTAATAAGCAAGTAAACGATAAGCAATAAGCTTGAAATGCGAGGAAGAAGAAGATGACTTAAGTTAGTAGAACGAGTCCGAATGCTTGCAGCTTACTAAACCGGGAAATTGAAAATTGGAATTTGCTAGTTACCATGATATTGATATCAGACTATAAATTGATCCCAATGAATGTATGGACTTCAAAATAAGATGGGTTTCCTGCAGCGAGCGCTGCTACTATCCTACTCACCGACCATTGCTTATGTATAGAAAATGACGATTCATTGAACATCCTTGCAAACCCGTAGTGCCACAGTCGTAATCATTTCTCGAATTTAGGTGTAGCTCAACTAATTCATACATATTTCATCTCTCTCCGTATTTCCACAGTCCACAGCACCCGTACGACGCTAAACTGCGTGGGAAATACCAGCACCATGGGACAGCTACGAGCTCGCCGGAAAGCGGCCAAGATGTTGGTGGCGGTCGTGGTCATGTTCGCCAGCTGTTATTTCCCGGTGCACATGCTGAACGTGGCTAGGTAAGCTTCGTACCTCATCCTATTTCGATTCAACAATTCCATATGCCATAATAGGAACGTATAGCCATGACTGGTACATCCACCGTAGTATGTTTAATTCCGATTAATTCCAATAATTCATCGAATGTATGTGGGAGGTCGTGAATTATATTTCACTTTTCCTTCTGCGAAATGCGTCAGCTTCATGGGAAAAGCGATTGGTTCGGCGAGACGATTTCCGCTCCGAATCGAGGCATGGAACGGAAACTCTGCTTGTGTGTTGATGTTGTAAATAATCTTCTCAGGGATGGTTTGTCCCCGTACAATCCTCCAACCAGTCTGATGTGGTTTGATTCGACAGTGCACTCTATTTTCAATGAGTGAAAGCTTGCAAACCGCAATTACCATATCAAAGAAAACTTTTCTTTTAGCGAATCATCAGACAGAAACGAAATGATGATGCATTTGAGTTTCAACCGAACACCCTCTTGAAAATTGATACAAATGACGTCAATCGCAAATTAGGAGTAAAACTTCCATCGGAACATGTTAAATTCCCTTTCGAGAAGGAATAACCCGTTCCGAATAAATCACCCCGAAGCAGCCTGGTCGGTCAAAATTAGGCACCATTAGCGAGAGCAACCCTTCTCGGAACCTCTTTTTTGTTCTCCTAACCTAACAGGATTCAGCATTCCATCCGCTCCAGAAATGACCCTTGACAACAATTTAACTCCAAAAAGCGGTTTCACAGATTGTTCCATTTTGACGCTAGCTTTCATCCGCTTTCCCTGCGGGCGGTGCTGCGATGGCAGGAGTTACTGAGTAGCGAACAGCTTCATCACTACCCACAACATACCGGGGCGAGGCAGTCATAAAAGAATACACTTTCGCTGCGATTTTGTGCAGATATCGCGTGTCGTAAAAATGTAACGGAAAAACTATAAAAACTGCCAAACATCGACACCGACACCCATGGATTCGTCATTATCGTCATCAACAGCAGCCTTTGTGGTGGGGTGCTTCAGTGTAGGTCAGTAGTCGCTGCGTTTATATCGCTTTGTCCAGAATAACTCAACTGCCACATGCAAGACAAAGGATGATAAATATTTGATTCGTGGCATCTTAGAACGATGCGAGGACTGCACTTCGGGGTGGTCATGTAATAAATGGCCGAATGGAGGTTTGCGAAACTGTTAAGTGTTGATTTTCTTACTAAGAAATTATCCAGTTGTGGTAGTTTTTAAAGAGGTGAACCCGAAAATAATTTACTCCCATGAAGGTATGCTGAATTTAGACACAAATTGAATTAATTACTATCGCAGTACTTTTTATTTAGTATGTAAAATACTCGCTGTGAATAACTACATAATAAGTTCTGTGATATTTTGCATGAAGATTGATTCACAGCAAAAAAATCAACAACGCAAACTCAATATCTTACAACCCACTAAAATTCGAATAACGCAACCATCCTGTAGTGCATCAACTTTGATGTGATAGTACGAACGAGTTATACTAAAAATCCGCAAACCACCCTAGCATCCACGATTCATTCATCCTACTTCGGAACAAAGACCATCCTAAAGTCTTTAAACTTGTTACTTCATCGAGCGTCCCTTCAGACGTGGCTATGCCCGATGCCGTAGCAAAAGCCAGTAGATTCACCCAGTCACGTTCCTTCCCAAATGGAAATAACCGTGTGCCAGCAGGTGTATTCATAACTGTGTGCATCTGATGGCAGATCAAAACTTATTTTACCTTCCTCCCTCTTGCACTCAACACCGAGTACCTGCCTGGAGTGCTCGTGTTATTAATTTTCTCGTCTAAAAATGTGGAACAATAAAACCTATTTTAAATACAAGGTTGTCTGCTATCCTAACCACAGAAATGTCCATGATGTTTATAACATAACTTTAAGCGGATTGCAATAAATTATAACGATTTCCAATTTCTGAAAAAAAATTAAAAACATAGATTTACGATGCAATCTATTGTGGAAAGTCCCGTCAGGGAAATTCCGAGATTTCCCGGGATCTGAAAAATCCCGAATTCCGAGATTCATGCATAGCACACAAAAACAAGATGCTAGAGCGATGTATCAATGATTGAGTAAAGGCAAAAGAGCTGCAAAATATCAATATCAATACCTGCAAAACTCTGAATTTCACTAGCCACCTGATATCAGTAGTAGTTCACACAGTTAGAATATCAATATCATTTGTCTCAATGTCAGTGCGCAAATGACATTGACATCGTAAAGGGACAATTGATATTAAAAGTTCTATCGTAACTTTATCTTATATACGCCAGCTAATCGTGTACCGATATTTAGAAGACCCATCAGTAATGTTACTTACTTAAGGGTCCTGTGCTCCACCAAAGGGCCAACGTGAAAGACTTCCATCCTGGGCGGCTGCTCGCTTTTGCCTTGACCTGGGCCCAGGTCAGATTTCTATCGACTTGCTTAATTTCATTATTGAGGATCCGCCGCCATGAGCCCCTGGATCTGCCTCTGCTGCGATGTCCTGCCGGATTCCAATCCAGCGCTTGCTTGCAGATTTCGTTTCCGCCCCGTCGAAGTGTGTGGCCAACCCACCTCCACTTTCGCTCTCGAATTTCTGTTGCTATCGGCTTCTGATGACATCGACGATGGAGCCCGGCATTCGAGACCAGTTGTGAGGCCACCAGGCACGAATTATATACCGCAGGCATCGGTTGACGAAGACCTGCAGCTTCTGAGTGTTCTACGCTGATACACACCACGTCTCGCTGGCGTATACCAACACAGATTTCACGTTCGAGTTAAAAATTCGGATTTTGGTGCGTTGACTTATCTGGTTGGATCTCCATACGTTTCGTAAACTCGCAAAGGCAGCCCTAGCCTTCTTGATTCGTGCACCTATGTCGCTCTTGGTCCCGCCGTCCGACGCTATTTGGCTGCCAAGATATTGGAAACTTTCGACCTTCTCCACTGCTTCCCCGCTATCGTAAAGTTGGAAGGGTTGCCCGTGTTGATATCCAACGATTTGGTCTTGTTGACGTTGATTGTGAGACCCGCCGCAGAGGAGCGTTCGGCTAGGTCATTGAGCTTACTCTGCATATCAGAGCGCCGTTGTGCTAGTAGAGCAACATCATCAGCCAAATCGAAGTCGTTGAGATGCTTCATGGTGATAGGCTGCCAAAGCAGCCCACGGTTCTGTACACGGTCAATTGCACCTACCATGATCTCGTCGATTACGATGAGAAACAGTAGCGGCGATAGTATACATCCTTGTCTCACACCAGCGACTACCCGGATTGGGGCGGACAAGGCTCCGTTATGCAGAACGCTGCACGTGAAAGCCTCAAACTGCGCTTCGATCAGGTTGACGATTTTATCCGGGACTCCCTTGCGTCTCAGAGCGCCCCACAGATTCTTGTGATTGAGACGGTCGAAAGCTTTTTCGTAGTCAATGAATACCAAATAAAGGGACTCTTGGAATTCATTGACCTGCTCCAGGATGATGCGGAGCGTTACAATATGGTCCACACTAGATCTTCCGGCACGGTATCCTGCCTGCTGCCGTCGGAGAGTCGCGTCGATCTTCTCCTGTATCCGATTCAGGATAACTTTGCACAGAACAATACACAGTAACCCGAGTAGCACGCTTTCATCACAATAAGTTACAGCAACTTGTTTATGACTGAAATAAGTCGTATATAAGTTTCTACAATTGATTTGTGACAAGCGTGCTACTAGGGAATTTAATGCCTCGCCAATTGTCGCACAGATCCCCCTTCTTTGGGACCTTCACTAAGAGGCCCTGCATCCAGTCGGCCGGAAAAGTCGCGGTGTCCCAGATATTACAGAATAGTTGATGCAACATTTGTGCGGATAGCATGGGGTCAACTTTGAGCATCTCTGCTGATATGCGATCGACCCCTGGAGCCTTGTTGGATTTCATGCTTCGGATAGCTGCTTCAATCTCGTGCAGTGATGGGGCCTCGGAATTGACGCGAGTGATGCGCCGCACCCTAGGCGGATCATGCCGAGATGTTGATGGCTGGTTGGCCGTCGAAACTTGAAGAAGTTGTTCGAAGTGCTCAAACCAGCGTTTCAGCTGGTCAGTGGGGTCGGTAAGCAATTGTCCAGTCGTGTCCTTCACTGGCATCCTCGGGTTCATCCTTGCTCCACTCAGGCGTCGTGAGATATCGTAGAGGAGGCGTATATCGCCAGTGTTTGCGGCTTTCTCCCCTTCGTCGGCCAGGCAGTTCACCCACGCTCGCTTGTCCCGTCTGCAAGAGCGCTTGACTTCCTTCTCTAGAGCCGAGTATCGTTGACGGGCTTCGTTCTTGGCTCCTCTGGTTCTCGCCCGCTCTATCGCGGCTTTTGCTTCTCTACGCTCCTCAATCTTCTGCCAGGTTTCATCTGTGATCCACTCTTTCCTCTGGGTGCGCAGCTCACCCAAGTTGTTCTCGCTTGTTTCTATAAAGGCATTCTTGATGGCCGTCCACTGTTCTTCTACGCTGCCACCTTCTGGAACGTCCGCAGCTCGAGTCTCAAGTTCTTCAACAAAAGACCTTTTTACCGCTGGATCTTCAAGTCGGCGTGTGTTGAACCGCCGCCCGAGTCTCTCCTCCCGTCGCTGGATCCGCGCCATGCGTGGTGGATTTTGCCGGTTAGAAGGTGATGGTCAGACGCGATGTCGGCGCTGCGTTTATTCCGGACATCAAGAAGGCTCCGTCTCCATTTTCGGCTGATGCAGATGTGGTCGATCTGATTTTCGGTATGTCCATCACGGGAAACCCACGTGACTTTGTGTACTGGCCGATAGTGACCTATTGAAAATTGATAACATATTCATTTTAGCAACTTTCCAATCTATTGGCTTGCTTAGAATTAAAATCAATCCGCTATTGACAGAGTTATAAATGGTCAAAACCTGACCACTTTTCGTAACGGAGTCGATTTTGTTTTTTTTTTTTAAATTGCATTCCCAGTATATTTCCGAATGACGTATTCCTACGTCAAAATGATTTAT